ATTGCCCACACTGCAGCACAGCCCAAGCGCAGTCGCTGCTTACTGCGCAGTTAGCTAGTCGAGCAGTCCTAACTTTTTGTTTGATATGCCGTGGGTGGTCTCTAGTATCAATACTGCCAGATATATAGCGGAAGTTGAACTCACTCTATCTTCAGGTCCGGTATGCCACCAAATTTTTCAATTATTTTTATAGAATCATAACATTAGCTTACGTTTATACAGTTTTATCCGATTTACCACACCCCCAATGGCCGTAGACATACCCGCCATAGCCAGTGATCTTGGATGGTCGACGCGGATCTACATCCCAAAATTTAGCTCTTCAGCTATATGTGCTCCAAATTTAAAGTCTCTATCTTCAATAGCGCCGAAATATATTGCGTTCATACGGACAGACGAACGGACAAGACGGACATTGCACAAAACCAATATACTCATTTCACTGTCGCCTGAGTGGAGAGACATTGCAAAATGTCACTTAAACAAATTCTAAGTGATATTGAACCCATGAATGATAGACTTGCAAGAATTCAGACATCGATTAGAAGCAACGTATTCAACATATTCATATGTAAATACATTACACCTATGTATATCGTATACTTTTCACATACCTTTTCAAAACTCCACATAATCAATTATAGCATATCTGTAAAATTGCGAAAATTCTTATTTATGTTAAATTAAAAATATCTATTAAGCTATGAAATATACATTATATAGAATGGCAACATTTTCTTGAGGAGTGTGCGGAACAATTGAATAAAAAGGCAAAGGCAACAATACTTATCGAACCACAGGAATGAAAGGGAAAAAACCGAAAAGCCGTTGAAGTGCTCCAATAACGCCACCAAAATAACTTCAAAGTTAATGGACTAGAAATCTAAGATGAGGGCTGGACATTTAATAAGATGTGTGTAGGTGGTAGGAAGTCCAGATTGGGTTTCACTGAAAGTAGCACAAGCATATACGTTATATTGATGGAGTGGACGCATATGTAGCCATGGTATGTAGCAATATATCAAGCGAAAATACTTTAAATTGCAATGCTTTGAGGTAACCCAATAGCAAATTTAAGTCCAATCGTCAGTTCTGAAATAACTGATATTCGCTGAGAGTTAAAGTCAGATTATGCTGGTCCCCCGCATAAGAGTGCAAATATATTTATGGTGGTCAGCTTGCGTCAGAACGATGCAAGAGCCGACTCGAGGGAAAACTTTTAATTTCCTCTTAATTCAGCATGCAGCTCCACCCCAACCAGGACTAGCAAAGCCCTCCAGCTAGTCAGCTAGTCAGTTAGTCAGCTAGTCGCCCAGCCGGCTGTTAAGGCAGTCATCAACACACAAAGAGCGCAAACTTCAGCTGTCATCCGCACTTGGAATACTATCGGAGAATCGCTTGTTCGCCTTTGCTCTGAGCGGGCGGCAGCCAAAGTTTAAATGTCAAGTGGGGTACGCAGTGCAGGCAAATATTTTTCATTTAGCTCGGATGCCTTTGGCCTTACGGGGGTGTCTGCCACACATATTTTGCGGCATTCAATTGAAATATCAGCACGTGCCACTTGGCAGCTTCGAATATTATCCCAAGTCAAGTTAAGTTTGCTCTTTCGCGCTGCTCTCCATCATTTTCCATCATCATCGACCATTTGTCTTAAGCTTCCTGTAAAAATACGACATGCGCGTATGCCCACAAATTTCATTAAGAAATTCCAAACATATTTTGAATTATTATATTACTCCGTTATAAGCTTGATAGTAGTTAGTTGGTCTGTCCGTCTAGAGGACTTTTTGTCTGTATATTTGATTGTTTTCGGGGATGCCAATTGAATGTGAGTAAACTATTTACTACTAATTATATGTAAAAATATAATTATAATTGTAATCAATATTTTACTAACGATATTTGACTCGAGCTAATATTAGTATATTACTATTGTGGATATCTAAAACAAATTAGTTCAATTAAGATTGCTCGTTGATCATCGGGGGAAATTAATTTTGCATTCCACTATATTTTTATTTTTTTTCTCTCTGTAACTACATATTATAGAACGAACCTTGGTACTTAAAAATATACGTAAGGGCGTGCACGATGAACTTTCAACTCGAAGCCTGCGCAATGAAAGTGAGTGGGCGTTACATACGAGAAAGTGGCACCAATCGTCATGGGCGGATATTACGCAACATTTTTATCCGCCAGTCGGATGAGAGACACTGAGTCGAGAGGATGCTAAGACCCACTTGTTGCTACAGCTCGCGAATGAAGTCGAGACGGGTGGAGGAGGACGGAGGAGCAGCAGCAGCAGCATCTGAATGTTGCCCATTAGAGCAGAGCATGTGTAGAGTGCGCGTGGAAATGCTTTGGGGCTGTCAGCACGTAGCAGTCATCTCGGCAGCATAATCCAAGAAATAATTCAGCTAGCATTTATGGTCTCTGTGACCTTTTATTATATTAGTCTCTTAACCAACTCGTCATATTCTTGTAACTTACTTATTTATGGGCTTTGATAATTATTTCATATGCAATTTGATACGGTTTCTAATCCTAGGAGTGATTCGTCAAAATAAAGCTCACCCCTTAGTTAAATACTAATTCGGTAATCCTGTTATGTTTAATAAGGTCGTCTTTTTTTGTCAAAAAGGCTTCAAAGGCATTTTACTTTATTTAATTTAACTGTCTAATTACATTTAACAAATTAATCTTGGCTTATGTGTCCTACACAATTTCCATAATCCTAAGCAACATAGGAGAATTGCACTGCAGTATCTAACACAAAAAACTTGCCTAGAATACCACAATATATTGTTTTAGTTACAAATAGAATCGAATTTAATGGTGTTTAAGTAAATAAAACAATTTATTACTATTATAAAAAATACAATATTCGCGGCACACTTTACCTTACAAGCTACACTTAAGTTTATTTGTTCTGAAGCAATATTAAATTGTATATATTTAATAGATTTTGTATAACGTAAACTCAACCAAATATTATATATCTGAATATTGTACAATAGACCGGAGTATTTATTTAGTTAGATTTATATCTGATTATACTATGCGTCGTGGATTTTTAGGTTCTCAATTTCGTCAAGCGTGTCCTCCGAGCCGGATGCCGTCAAATCCGATAGTTCATCAAGACACTTTTGGCGTTTGCGCACATTCCAGTGCAGACCCTCAGCCAAAGAGTCGAACCAGTCGGATATCTGATCCTGTGCGCAAATGCTCGGGACAGGATAAATAGAGGTTGTCACTCGCAAGAAATCACCATGATTTAGCTCCTGATCATTTCGGCCGTCGAAGGATACGCGCGACGTATTCCTACTATCCGGAGATATCGATATCTAAGACGGGAAAATGAAATTGAGATTTAAGGCTTAACAGCGAACTCAATCGTCTTACCTTCAGCTCAACTCCGGCTGGTACAACAATTGGTCTAAAACTTAGTGAATGCGGACAGATGGGAGTTACCAGAATAGCTGGTACAGATGGATGGATCATGGACGCACCAGCGGCTGCTGCGTAGGCTGTGCTGCCCGTTGGCGTCGACACAATCAATCCATCTCCTTGCACCGATGTGATGTACTTGCCGTCCAAGAAAATATCAATGTTGCTTAAGTAGGGTGATGGGCCACGATTGATGACCACCTCGTTTAACACCAAAATACTGCTATAGCCAGATGCAGCCTGTGCTGAGGATGGACTACAGTTGTTGTTGCTGGCCTTTGGGTTACCCAATTCGTCGCAGTGGGATTGTCGTTGCGAGACAGGCTTTATGAGATTACTAGATTGCTGCAGAGACTCCCTGCGGCGCTCGCCTTTCCGGTGGATTGAGCAACGCAGGCGACTACGTAGCGTGAGTGCGGCATGACCCTCCAGCACATTGGTGACTTGCTCTTGGAAGTTGTCACACTGAAACGGTGTCAGGAACCCCAATGAGCCCAGATAGAAAGCCATAACAGGGGGCACCGATTGCTGGAATAACTGTGAGGCATATAGCAGCGTTCCATCGCCTCCCAGGCAGACAATAAAGTCAATACGATCGGTGAGATCATCGCGTCCATCTCTGTAGCAAAGACACCCAAAAATTGTTAGTATAATTAATCATATGCGTGATTACATTCTTAATGGTTCTCGTACTTACTTAAAGGTTACTAGCTTCTCCCGCAGTGCGAGGAAACGAGTGCGTACTCCAGTGTAATACTCGTGCACCAGCCGGAACTTTGCGCTCTCCTCCTCCAGCCGAACGTCATCGCGCAGCAACTTGTCCTCCAGCACTGCGGATTCTACCCAGACTACCATATTTTTCTCCTGGACCAGCCATTCAACCAGCTGCACAAACGGCAACAGCACCTGGGAGTCCTTCTTCTTGATTACGAGGACCGTCAACGGTGGCTTATACCAGGTCAGCCGCTGGCTGGCGGGATCTTGGATTTGCATTACCATTGCAGAATTCTTCATGATGCGCCCGCATGGTCCAAACTGCTGGAACGGCGAAGGTGCGTTTAGGCTACGAGTGCGCCTGAAAACAAAAGTGGAACTGTTAAGTTGCGAATAATACGAATTAGAGAATTAAAAGTGCTTAAAGTGACAAATGTTTAAGGTAAACCTCAAAATGCGCGGCTCCACCTCTTGGCCATAATCTTGGCCTATATGTTTGGAAACAAGGCCTAAATGCAGCGACGCAAGACGCCATTTCGGATGCTGCATACTTATAGCTCTGAAACTTATTTTTATGTGGACTTTAAATCCATATGAAGTACAGAGAGCAGAGCACAACGAAGCTAATTTCTGTACTCCAATAACAGTTCTTATGTACACGAAAATTATTGGAATTTCTGTTGGCTCGCTCGCCCTGGTTAATGCGAATCAGTTGAAGGTTACAAAATCACTGAAAGGCCAAAAAATATCTGAGAATTTACGATTTTGTTCGTTACAGCAACAGCGTTAAGAAACTCGTTTAGCCTCGAACAACGGAATAACGGAAACTGCACGCTTTTTGACGAGAGCGAGAGAGAGAGAGGGGAAGTAAGAGAGTAAGGTAGCAAAAGAGCGGGATAGGCAGTTGGTAAGAGAGAACGCAGTTTAAAAGCGAAAGCAATGAATGGAAGTACTGCACTGTTAGAAAACTCGGAAGTTAGCTTCTATGCAGGGCAGTATACATATTTTTGTCATGATATATCTCTTCACATGTCGTATAAGTCCCTAGATCTTGGGTCGGAATCACAAGAACATAAGCGAGAAATTAACTGTTGCTCTCGTGGATCATGGTTACCTCCAAAACGTTCGAGCTGCTGACCTCAAACTACTCTGCGCCTTCACTGAAAGCCTAACATGAGATGAGCTGAATAGACTGTAGGTATTAAATTCCCAACTGGTAACCAATACAAATGCCTTATTACCCGCGTGGCTATACGGCTAAAGATCTCGGCGTTTCGATCTTTTCAAAATAACACTAATTGATCCCAAGGTAAGCCTACCTGATACTGACACTGGTACTGATAGCAACGTCGACTTATTTAAATGGATAAGATATGGCGAATATAATCATTAAAACAAATTAAAACGGTTAGATATACCCGACTGCCTTAGACTGCTGTTAGAAATAAAATATTTCCGATTATGTCCACTCTCGACAGCAAGTAATTTATTGGCCCACATGTCGAGGAGGTCGATAATGATCCACCGGATTTTGGCACATATTTTCAATAGGTGTATCCACCTAATTATTTGGTTCCACTGAGCAACGGGATAAAAGCCGCACCTGATTAACTTCTGGACATTTCGCTAGAATATTAATTAAGGGCCGTCTGGGCTTTGTTTAACATACTGCGAACGTACATGTAAATTAAAGGTTTACGCGTTTGACCTGCTGCACCTTATGATTTTGATTTTGATTTTGAGTTTTCGCTGTCTGCTGGTCATGAGTTGTTGTTTTGTGTTTTATTTATGAATGGCGCCTCGCACAAACTGGCACGGAATCAATTAATAGTCATTGACTGACATTCAATGCCTTGAGAGTTTTTCAAAACAAAACGCTAATAAACAACAACAAATAAAAGACAGTAGCTTGTAGAAACACAAAATAAAAAGTATTTCGGGCCCACATATACACATGCGGATCGAATAGTGGTTTGGGTGCTTTAAACTAATAAATAAAACTATGTGCTCATCGGATTTGATTCACATAGGGACCATCACAGCAAATGCCTAGCCATTTAAGATGTTCGCAAACTCGTTTCGAAGTTCCCAAGACGGTGATAGCTATTCACAGACAACTATGTATTTCTATCCGTACCTATATCTGTGCAGAAAGGTCACGGCCCCTATGCCGTCGTGTAGGTCAAAATTTTGATCGCGATCAACTTTGACGTTATGCGGTATATTTAATCAACTCCTCATGGCAGCTTCGCTAAGGCTATCTATATAATAATACATTCAAATAGACATGTATATAAATATCAAATGCACTCATTCTAACCTTGAGCAGGAGTTCAGAAACACGGCTATTAAAGCATTTTTATACCCTGCACCCATTGAAAATGGGAAATCGGGCCATAATGTATTTGTGAAAAGGTATGTAACGGGCAGAAGGAATTATCGCAGACCCTATAAAGTATATATATTCTTGGTCAGCACGACGAGCTGAGTCGGTATACCCCTGTCTGGCTGTCTGTCCGTCCGTTAGCGATGATATTTGGCATACTCCTATGTACCATACGCAGTATAAGCTTATCATCTTTTTTCGATAATTCATCCGATAACTTTTTGTGTATATACATATGTATGTGTGCATTAAAGAAGTGTAGAATAATTAGAATATCAGCATGGAGTGTTTAGGGTATTTCCTAGTCGAGCAGTCTCGATTAGAGCACTCTTGTTCCTATTAACCTGATAACGAAATCTGGCTCATCATGCTGGCGTTAACATTTTATTGAAGAACATTTACGTGATAGTTGGCCAGGCACCAATTAATTATACTTTTTATAGTCATTTATAAAATTGAAATGAGTATATTGGTTTTGTGCAATGTCCGTCTTAATCGTCCGTCTGAACACAGTTTTTTGCAGCACTATTGAAGCTAGAGACTTGAAATTTGGAGCACGTACTCGTGTATATCTCCGTTTTATAAAATGTTATTGGAAAATGCATTTCCCGATATACCAGAAATGATATTAGTTGACGGGCTAAATAGCTGAGGATTGGAATGTAGATTTCTTTTCACCACCCAAGATCGAAAGGATCCGGATTAGCTATGACCCATTAGGGGCGTGGAAAATCGGGGAAAATAGTATCTCCTAGAGTTTTAAGGTTAGAGCGCTAAAATTTTTCAGGCGAGCTAATGTTATGATTCTAAAAAGAAGAATGAAACAACTAAGAAAGCTCTAGTCGAGACTGCTCGACGACGAGATCCCCTGAACACTTCGCGCAACTGATATTTCAATAATTCTTTGCGTCTTCCTGCTTGCACAAGACACACATACCGTATGTCGCAGTGTGGGCTTACTATGGGAACTAAATTATTGAATAACTTTACATGAGGATGTACGTTCCTTATGAAACTTTAATATTGTGATTATAATATTAAAATGAGTATATATTTACCAAAGCACAAGTCTCTAGTATATGAAATACGCTTTTAACAGATTTAAGGATGAGCGGGTGAATATAGAGGTTGGGAGTGAATTATATCAAAAATTAATATTGTATAAAATGAATCTGAATATATATTTAAAATTTGAAGACTCTAGGTTTAAAGATGTAGCAGATATATTACTGATTTTCGAAAAGGTTTTAAAATATAAAAAATAAGCAATATCCACGCTATATATACGGACATTTTAAAAAAGTTCAAGTCTCTAGCCCTTATTTCTTCTGAGATCGACGCGTTCAATCATACGGACAGACAGACTGAATCGACTCAGGGCTAAATCGACTCAGCTTGTCGCTCTGATCAAGAATATATATACCATTATACCCTGATTTTTATTTTTTTTTTTTTTAATCAGTTCAGGGTATAACAAGTAAGAAGACTCTAGTCGAGACTGCTCGACTAGGAGATACCCTGAACCCTCCAAGCTGATATTCTGATCATTCTGCACTTCTTTTATGCACGCACACATTCATACATATGCATCCACCCTCACGCGCTCGCGATCTGCTAACTGCGCAGTAAGCAGCGACTGCGCTTGGGCTGCGCTGCAGTGTGGGC